TGTTTATGTTTGTTTTGTGTTTGTTGTAAAAAAAAAAAAAAAAACATTAAAAAAAAAAAGAGGAAGGGAGTGAGGGACATGTCTTCTTTCTGCAGTTCTTTTGCCAGCCTAAGAGATGGCCAGCCAATGGTAAATAATGTCATTACTTAACTCTAAGAAGGGAGGAGGGTTGCAGAAATAGCTACAAAGGACAGAAGCTGTATTTCACCAGTAGAGAAATAGTTAACTCTGAAATGCTTGAAAAGACACACATAAATTACTGTTTTATTGCCAGCTAATTATAAAAACTGCAGGGAGATGGAATAGAGGGACAAATCAGCCAACACAGTTTTTTAAACATCTTAGTTTAAATGCTGCTTTGCTTATAGAAACTCCATTGCTGAAAAAATGTTTCTTACCTTGCTTATGTTACAAATAAAAGGAAAAAAAAATCACAAGGAGTTTTCTGTGTGCTAAATGTCTGGCCATTTCTCAAGACTCCAAAGCCTTGGGACAATCACTAAGGTAGATATTAACTATTTTCAAAAACTCTGGAATAAGGAATAATAATAATAATACCTTGTATTAATTAATAAATGGCTAGAGGTCTTTAAAGTATATTTCACTAAATTCTTATAGTGAAATTAATTCAACGAATTTTTTTTTATGTTTACTGGATTCCTCTAAGAATGTTTAAAAGGACTATTAACTTCAGTATGTTGGACAGGTGAAATGGATGAAGGGACATGTGTCCTATTTTGATTTGATATCTGTAAGTTTGTTAAAATCATATTACAATGATCAATACAGTTTAAAAATTTGAATGTACTTTTGAATTATATACCCAAAACTTGGAACATACCACTATATGAAAAATTATAGATTTATCAAACATAGATATAACTATTCTAAGGTTACAATTCTGAATGAAAGATATGTGCTTGCTTTCAGTTAATGAGACGGCTCTTTATTGATGTAATAGAAAGACTAATGAATATTATTTTGTCTAAAAATTAGGCTGAATGATTTCTTATATGCAATATACAGTATAATGTTGTTTCTCCTTGCAGAATGTTTACTTATTTTTATTTATTTATAGGTCACATTTATATAGCTGCCCATCTCACGCAAAGCAACTCTGGGCAGCTTACAACAATTAAATAAAATAACAAGTGGATAAGATAAAAACAAGCATTATAAAAAGATAAAAAGTATTATTAAAATATAAACATTATCACAATGTTTTTTAAAAATTATATTTTAAATATACAAACCCCATGGAGAGAGCAGAATATCAATTACAGTGGAGCCATTTAAGAATGTCTCCGGCTCCCAAAGACCCGCAGGCCTGATGACACAACCAGGTCTTGAGGGACTTCCTAAATGACACCAGGGAAGGGGCGAGTCTAACTTCAGGGAGGAGAATGTTCCACAAGGAAGGAGCCATGGCAGAGAAGGCCCACCTCCTGGGACCCACCAAATGCAAGTCCCTGGCTGCTGGAATGCGTAGCATACCTTTCCTGCCGGATCTAACGGGACGGGCTGATGTGATCGGGGAGAGGCGGTCCCTCAGATAACCCGGTGCCATGCCATGAAGGGTTTTAAAGGTCAAAACCAGCACCTTGAATTGGACCCGGAAGCAAACCGGCAGCCAATGCAACTCGTGAAGCAGAAGAGCAATATGTGCTCTTCTAGGAACACACATAACTACCCGTGCCACTGCATTCTGAATGTTTATGTGCGTGTGTGTATTTTAATACATTAAAGCACAAATTAAAATGAATAAACCCAAGCCCATGGCTTACCTACTTGGTTTTTGTATGTTTTAATTATTTTCAAATACTTGTGACTCCAAATCAAATTTAATTGCAGCATACCTATTCCATCAACTACTGTTTCAATTGCTGCTTCCTTAAGGCAGGGCAAGGAATAGTAGTGAGAAATACTTGAACATAGCCATCCAACCACAATGGATGTGTGCAAGAAGGCTACAATTGCCACAGCAGCAATGGATATGGTACACAAAATGATGATGGACAGTGAGTCCTGGGCTTTTCCGAAGGAAATGACCTCGTCATCACCAACATGTTTTTCAAAAAGCGCATCAGCCATTTGGTCACCTATGCCACTGGCAACTGCAGTAACCAGATTGATGTGACTTTCCCACTATTATGGACGTAAAGGTCATTCCATCTGATTGCCTCACCCCGCAACACAAGATGATCATTGCTGATATGAAGATCAGTAACATGCAAAGAGTGGAGGCAGTACAATGAGTCCAAGAAAATCAAGTGGTGGAAGCTATGATACCACAAGGCGGCTATCATCAACCGCATCATATTTCCTCCAATCATCACCACAGGCCCGACTGATGCCACATGGACTGCTCTCTGCAAGTCCGTTACCACTACTATGAGAACAACTCTAGGCACTATGAGACCAGGTTGTCATCGAATCGACAAGCAAGTGTGGCTATGGACAGAGCAAGTGCAGCAGAAAGCACGGGAAAAGGAGATGGCCTACAAGAACTGGTATGTGCAGAAGGCCAATGAAAACTGTTAAAAGTACATCACTGCAAGAAGAGCGGCAAAGAAAGCTGTCGCAAAGGCCAAAGCCAATCATTACCAGGATTTATATGAACAACTGGACACAAAGGAAGGTGAGAAAAGCATCTATTGACTAGAGAAAATGTGTGCTAAGGTGGCAAAAGACATTGAATGCTACATGTGCATTAAGGATAAAAATGGATGGCAACTGTAGGATGAGCTTAAAATCCTGAAACACTGGCAGCAGCACTTCGACAAAATCTCTAATGTTGAATTTCCATACCCGCCAATTCCGATGGCTCGGCTAACACTGGCCCAGTCCTGTGCATTACACCTGAAGAAGTTACCAAAGCTATCAGTGGCATGAAGAATCTGAAAGTACCTGGCCCGGACAATCTACCAGTAGACATCTAGAAGCTGAAAGAACTTTGTGGCACAGCAGCTGACTAGCTGACTAACTTCTTCAATGCTATTGTGGCCTCTGGCCACACACCTGCTGACTGGGCTACAAGCATTACAGTTCCCTTCTTCAAGTATAAAGGCGACCTGGCAGACTGTTCCAACTACTGACCAATCTGCCTCCTGTCGCACATAGTGAAAATTTTTGAGCGGATTCTCAATCAGCACCTCCATGACATCAGCACCTCTGTTGAAATCAGTGTCAACCAGTGCAGTTTTGCCAAAGGCTTGAGTACCACCAACACTATCTTTGTGGCTCGCATGCTCATGGAAAAGCATAGAGAAGTCATGACACCTGGCCTTCCTTGACCTAGAAAAAGCTTTTGACTGCATTCTGCATCAGCTGATATGGTACACACTACATGAGCATGGTAGACCCAAGCTACTCATAAAATGAGTCCAGCAGCTGAGTGAGATGTGCTGCCGGCCTTTCTGACAGCTTCCCTGTGAAAGTTGGCATGCACCAAGGTTCAGCATTATCGCCATTGCTGTTCATTGTCATGGATACCATCGTGCAAGATCAGCATCACGGTGTCCCATGGGCCTTGCTCTATACTGAAGATGTCCTGCTCGCAGCTACCACCAGAGAAGAATTGTAGTGCTGTGTTCAGACATGGAACGATCATCTTAACCAATTGGGTTTGTGCTTCAATATTAAGAAGACTGAGTATCTAGAGACCAGCCTGAGCACCTCCACCATCTAGTCAGTGGTGAAGATCTAGTGAAGACAAACTCCTTCCGTTACTTAGGATCTCATCTGCAAACTGACGGTGGCATTAATGGGGAAGTGTGTGTGAGGGTGAATGCAACACGGCTGTGGTGGAAGGAGATAAATGGAGTGCTCTGCCAATTCACTTAAAATCAAAAGTATATAGAATGATGATTCACCCAGTAGCACTATACAGCGCTGAATGTTGGCCAACCACCAAAAGTGCTGAATGCCCTCTACATGCCATGGGTCATTATGTGTCTCCCTTCTTGACCACATCAGCAATGATATAGTCTGGCAGCAGATGGGCATTGCACCAATAACAGAGAAAATACAGGGAAAACGCCTACAGTGGTATGGCCATGTCCTACGAATAGCACCCCACACTGTTGCCTGCACTGCCTATCACTTTAACACCAATGGCAAATGCCCACGCAGAAGACCAAAGCAAAGGTGGCAGGACACAACTGATGACGACATAAAGATCACCCAGTTGGACCAAGTTGCTGTGTTTGACTGCGTGAAATGGCATCGATCTGAAAAGCGGACCTTGCATCTGCAGGACAATGCTAGGAAGAGGAAGACAACTAGAGTATGCCTGGACTGGGATGACAAAAACATGACATAAATAAAAATATGTTAACTGCATGCTCCTTGCAAGCTTCCCCACCACCATGGTATAGGAAGGTGAGGGTTATTTCTACCACTTATTCTTCCTGCCTAAAGGACTACTCACCTCTTCATGCTTCCATGGATTTGTTTACATATTTTTTGGGACCATTTGTCTGCTCTAACCCTAAGATTTAAGCAGTTCTAATAATATGCAGTCAAGTGAAAACAGAACCAATAACTAGCATCATCATTTTTTTTTTTTTTTTTGGAATGGTGTAATTTAGAATTATTAAGCGGGCAAAAGACCTTCTCATTTCCATCCTAAGGTATGACATAGGTGTATCATGACCCATTACCTGGCATGGTAGTCTTCATGATATCAATGCCAACCTGACAATCAGGTTCAGCAGCAAGTACGGTGTAATTTCCTTGATGAGAAACATTAAAGCTGAAACTGGACTGGGTGCTGCTTAATGCATTTACGAGGACAGGTTTGCCTTTTGAGGTCCTTTGTAACTGTATTTTGTTCCAAGGAATCTTCAGCTTTTCCGCAATCAATTTTCTTATCATCAGACGGCCAGCCTGCAAATTAAAATGAACAAAACAATTCACAATATGTAACTGTTCCATGTAAGTAAAAGAAATGCATTAAAATTTGCTTGAAGAACATTCTGACTACCCCTTATGGAGTAAATGACAATTTAGTTACCCTTCTAAAAGAAAGCAAAACCAATGGATAAATATTGCAACTGCAATATATTTTTACAATTTCTGCACTTCTTCCAAGGAACTTAAGAAGAGGTTGTTCTACTCTTATTGCCACAATAATCTTGTGAAGTAGGCTAGGTTGAGAGAGCAAGATCATACAGAAAGTTTCATGGCAAAATAGAGACTTGAACTTTACTCTTTAAACAATACTAGAGACTTAATTTTTTTTTAAAATTTTGAAAGGTATGAATTCATAATATGTACTGGCTCAATATACTGAATTAAACATTTTGGTAGATCTTTTCATACATTTCCCATATTTTTATATCCATTGGGAATATATTTATTTATGAAATTGACAAATATACTTTACTTATCTACAGATGAATCTAATTTTGCCTGATTCCTGATTACCAGAAACTTAAGTCATTTTTCCCAATATTTCCCAAAATTATAAGTGAAAATATGTTTAATTCTGAATCCCCTCCAACAATGTGAAGAGACAGTTTTACTAATATGTGATAATCTATATTATTTAGAATGATTTCCAGTGATAATCCTTTGGTTTGTGACAAATAGTTTTATAAAGAATTTTTAGCCACAGTCGGTTCTGCTATTCCATTCCTAAATGTATTCCTAAATCTGTTTTCCATATTTCTTATTGGTATTCAAGTTCTTCATTTCAATATTGAGCAATATTTTATAAATTATTGATATTAAAACCATTTGGTTCTTATATACATCACTGGCCTACCAGTTTCAACTTTTAATTTCTTTTGTAAGAAGGGTTCAGATGGGTGAGATACAAGTAGTCCTCATTTAGAGACTGCCTTGTTTAATGATAATTCAAGTTACGACAGTGATGAAAAAGTAACTTTATGACCAATCCTTGTATTTACGACCTTTGCAAGTCTGTAAAGCAAAGGAAAGCTGAAGTAAGGTCATAAATACAGTTGTGGTTTCATTTAGCAACCACTTCGCTGAACAACTGAGTTGCCAGTCCCAATTTTGGTTGCTAAACGAGGACTACCTGTAGTGATAAATAACAAACAGATGGGTACCATATTTTTAGGAAAAATAAAGGAAATTGATAATAAGTATACAGATGCTCTAGTTTAGACATGGCATAAACGACAATGTAAATTTTTCCTGTGTTTCTTGCTATTACTATCTATCTTTCTGCATTTCAGATTCAGTGTGGAGAAAGATTGTGAGGCACAGAAAGCAGGTTTAATTCCCTTGTAGAATGTTTTTAGAGATAAAAACCCTTACAGAGAAAAGATTGTCCCTGCAAGAAACCACTGTTTTTTGGTAGGAATCAGATACTATCAGAACACTAATTTTAAAAAGTGAAATAGTAGAAGCAGGAACTAGGACTTCAATGGAACTTGAAAGCATTTGGCTTTTTTCAGTTTAACTGACTAAAATCAACTTATGTTCATAATGATGAAGTTTATGTGAGCAAGAGAAATATAAAATGCTTACTTTGTCAGCAAATGGTTGACTTTTACTATGTTGAAAAATCTATTTATGATATGTGCCCAGATGCATACTTCTCTATAACATCAAAGTGGATTTTTAAATCAGATTTATTTATCTAATGAATGATTGGCTTCTACATTTCCTGCTTTTATGAAATAAAATATATTGATACATAACGAGCTCGTATATTATCTCCAGAGCTTCAACGCCATCTGTATGGCATAATTTCAGGCTTTTATAGAGACTCAGCTTGCTGTAGTGAAGATTAGATGTTACAAAGTAAGTCACTTAAATCTTAAATGAATACTATACCACTTCAAACAACTCCTCTACTATCAAACCTCTCTTATTGTGTGATTCTGACTGCTAAAAATATGAAGTGCAGCTTTCAGTCAAAATTTCTATGTTATGTACTGGCCAGGGGAAATCAGGGGAGACGTACCAGATGGTTGGTGATGCCATACAAAAGCTGATGGGGAAAGCCTTTAATTTCTAGGTTTCCCTCTCATGCAGCAAGAGCAATGGCTATTGACATGTGGCTTGGCATCCACTGTAGTACTGGATTATGGACATTAGGGATCTTAAACCATACATGCTCAATGCACCTATCACCTATAAAATCTATTTCCAAAGCAAGGGAATGTTTAAAAGGGTAAGTAAACAGATAGTGTACCATAGCAGCTTTGGCATCCCGACCAAAGGCAAACTGTTCAATGCGCTTTTTCTCTTCAGGCTGCACAAGGCGCATGGCTAACAACCATTCCTCACAGCAAGGGGTCCAGGCACGGTATGAAAATGCCCAGCGTACACTCTCCATGGTGAGGCGCTCCAAGGACATCCCGTAAAAAGTGATGCTGTCAAACATACATGTTCAAATCACCTGAAAAAGAAAAGCAAAGTTGACCAAATTCTCGAAGTGTCTGGGTCTGGATTCAAAGACTTAAACGCAGAGAGTACAGCTATTACTTTGATTTATTCTAGCCTCCCTCACAGGGTTATCACAAATGCAAACCTGTGCTTGCAACAGTAAATTTACTTATTTATTAGACTGCACAGTGAGTGTTTTAGAAGCTTAAAGGCAAACAAATTATTACCGCATGAATTTGTATCCCAGAAGGATACAAATGCAATAAATACTTTAATACTTGTATCCAGAAGGATACAAATGCAATGAAAAAGAGTCATAGGGGTACAGGGACCATATCTTCTTGGAAAAAATAAAGGACAAACCTGAAAAGGGGCAAATCTGAAAGAAGTTCATAAGGATTAAAAAAATAATGGCTTTGTTTACAACTTTGCTTTACAAAGTAAAACTCAAGAGCAACGCCAAGAAAATAATTAATTAAATAAATCTAAGGGAAAGCTGTCTGAAATAAATAAGTGTCCTTTATTTATTTAGGACGCATGGTCACTGTACATGGGGGAATAATACACCCATGTTGGTATAAAGAAACAGGTAAGCAGATAGATAATGCGAGGCGGGAAATGTGCCTACGAAGTTGGCCCTTCGAAGAACAAGATGTCAGGGGTAGTCCGGGTCCTACAGGATCTCTTCTAATTTGCTCTTAGCGTTGCTTAGAAAAGGGGCCTGGCCAATTTGGTGGCACAAGGATGAGAGGCGCTGGATGAGGGAGGGGATAACAGGTCCTCCACACCTGAGCAGGTAAAGGAGTCTTCTTCCCAGGACACTAAGGCAGCCAATCATCGGGCTGCTCAGAATGACGCATAGGAGGTCCCCCCAATCGCAACCAGGCTTACTTGCACGGAAACGTGCGGGGGGGCCGCGGGGGGCGGAAAAGAAAGGGAGGAGGTGCCACGCGCGAGCTCCCACTTACCACGAGCCCCTTCTCTACTGTTGAATCTGATGCCGGAGAGGGAGGGCGGAGACGCAAAATGCGACGACCAATCGGGCGTAGGGTACCGCCGCCTGGAGAACGGAACTAGCCAACCAGCGCTTGGCCGCAAGCCAAGATATCTGCATGCATAGAGTTAGAAATAGAAAGATAACTGCTTCCATGGCGAACTCCTGATCAGCATTGTGCTACCGTCCTGTAACAGGGAAAGATAGGCTTTAGCAAGAAGGACACAGAAGAGTTAACGGGGTTGCTGAGGATAAACTCTAAAGGGAAATGCAACCTTGCGCTCAATAGCATTGCTTTCTTTGCGGATTTGGGAGAAGGCGGGATTTAAGGAGGGATTGACGTGTACGGGCACGAATCACAATGCAAGAGTTGTTTGACTGGCAGGAGGGAAGCCAATGGACGAACGACGGTGGGTTTTATGCAGCGGATGTAGCAGATGTTCTTGCAGCTCCTGGGGTGGGCGCAGGTAGGTAAAAGTGACGCGATACAGCAAAGAACAAAGGACTGGGGGAGGGGCTTCTCTGGTTTATAGCGAATTCATTCTCGCAAAAGATGCTACGCTTGTGGAGCTCGTATCGGCCTAGCAGCCGCTTCTCTTCCGAATAGGATCGATCGAAGAAAAGAACGACCCTGTAGGTAAAGCATCAGGGGCCATATCGAGCATGCGCGCGCCCTTGAGCATGCGCAGAACAACTACTAAGCACATACGCCACCTGGGCGTGCCCTGGAGAGTGGAATCGGTTAAAAAAATGCAGCCCGGGGAGGGAGAAGATTTGAGTGCGTTTTTAGGATTCGATTACAGTGTGAAAGAATTCTTTCACTTCTTAGGCCTGCTTCATAGGTGATGCTGATCCACGTAAAATTAGACGAAATTTTATAGGACCCTATATTGTGCTATGCCAACATAATGAGCCACAAGTATTAGGCGAGAAACCGGGAGACGGAACTCGAAACCGCTTTCGAAATTTTGCCAAGAACGCTGCGGAGTCTTGCCCAGGCAGTCGCTAGGAGTCAGCATTGGCTTGAAGGCGCACACGCACAAAAAGAGCCAATCACATCACAAGTTGCTATTGTGAGTTGTGCAAACCTAGCTTTATTTCCAGAGGAATTAAGTAGGAAATCAACTAGAAAGTCTTGCAGCACCCCCCCCCCCGCCCCCCGCCATCTGGTGCCTTCCTGAAGTGTTGGAATTATAATTTCCGGAATTCCCAGCGTGCAGGGGATTCTTGGAGTTTTAGTCCTGAGAAATCTGAAGGTAGCAGATTTAGGAAGATTGCTTTGGGCATTACCCTCCTGCAGCCTCTCCACCCATCACCTCATCTGCTAGGCTGATCCCTCTTTTAAAGCTAGATTTCCAGGAAGGATTGGAATAGGCCTAGCAGGTAGAAGGGGAAAGAACCAGACTTTCTTGTTGTTCAAAGCAGTAGCTCAGGTACCAGAGTGGAGGAGGCCACCAGCTTAAATTGGCATATAGCAGCTACCTCCTAGAGGTTCATTAACACTGCCACTTATGGAATTATTGGTGAAGTGTTTTCATGGCAAAAATCACGTTGGCACTCTAATAACCACTTAAGGATGCCTGAGGTATAGGCTGGGGATCAGATGAAAACAATGTAATAGGTACATTGCAGGAAAAAAATATGAACATGTTCTGTTAGATGGTACTTTTTTGGTTGAATCTAGGATTGCGGGCCAGGTGAAGGTGGTAATTCTGGGTGTAAGCCCCAAGATAAAACTATTTTTTTTTAAAGAAGTAAAGAATAATCCTCAGCACCCACCCCAAGTGTTAACTACAGTCTCCCAAAGGATTGAGTAGCATTTAATTAAATAGACCATTCAGGGAATGGAGTTCTCCCAAATACCTCATAAATCCGCAAGTGTATAATTGTGTTATTTTATCATTGGCATGTCATCATTACAAGAATGACATAAATTAGTTCAATAATATAAACATACTGGGTTAAAAAAAAAAAGTCTCATCCAGACAAATTTGCCTGCAATGGATTTTTCTGGAATTTGGGGGACTGCTCTGTTAGATTTATGATATGTTCTATCATAAAATTTATCCATTGCATTCAGTCAACTGCATTAAGGTCTACTAAATTAAACTTTCACTGTATTTCTTTGGTTAGGAAAATGGATAGCAGAAGTCTTAAATTTATTATTTTGTGTGTGTGTGTATGTGGTACCCAAGTAATTAGAATTGACACTCTTTCAGTCCATGACACTAGAGCTAATAGTCTTGTTTGTTTGTTTGACCATTCACAAATATTTTGGGAGTAAATTCTACCTTGTTTTGTTTCATTGGATTACCATACCCCTGTGGGCTTCTGCAATTAAGCAGCATTTCTTGCAGAGTAGAAGTTCTCTGTCTCTAGAATGCCTCCAAGAACCAGCTTGATTTCAAGATCGTGCTGTTTCTTAAAGTAATTCTCAAATGCAAAATACTGTGTCTTGCTTATGCCTAGTACATTAATCCTGCTTTTGTGAATTCATATCTTAGGATATCAACAAAATTTTGTGACTCTGGAAACAAGTGACCAACAGCTCTGTAGTTGAGTTATTTATGAAGGAAGCTTTTAGTCCTATGCTATTTGCTTTTAACACACAAGAGAGTACTTTACTGCAATAACTATGAGTCATCAGCACAGAAGGTATAGCTTTTATTTGTTTAGCTGCACGTCCCAATAAGAAGCTCAAAAGGTATCAATATGTCCTGCTAGATTCTGGTACATTTCCATAGCTTCCATAGCTCACTAATGAAAAGACTTTTGCCTGATAAACGAGACTTAAAAAGAGTTTTGCTTTCATTAAATATATTATTAATATATATTTACTCTGCTATAATGATGAAAATCGTAGATCTAGTACAAAGAGAAAGGTTCAGTGAACAACTGAAATATTCAAGGACTACTTTTATTATTACTTACTCAGGGCCACATTTTTGTCTCTACTTGGTTCTTCCTATGAATAGGTACAGCTAAGCTACCAGGAATTTAAAGTTTAATATGTATATGTGTTTGAACGTAGCGTCTTGGTTTTTTGCTTCAATGATCCAGAATTGAAGATCAAGGTTATTGATTTTGTAATTGCTGTTTTATTTAAGAGCAACAAGCTATGATCTGTGGTTTAGATGAGAAGCCAAATTTTACTGATTTGAGGAGTCAAATGGGAACAAATCATATAACATGAGCACCAAGTCATAATTCTCTAAATTTCTAACATATCATTTTTGTGAGCATCTGGTCAATATTTTACTTGTAAACCTACTTTTTTAAAACATCTATGTCCCATTTTTTTCCTCTCAACTTAGTACAAAACCACAGAAACCAGTGCATTTCCATTTTTCTAAGTCTCTCATCTTGCAGTTTTTACTCATTCCTGTAGCATGGAATGTTTTTAGCTTCCCCCAGACTCCCAGTGTATTGAGATTAAGATATAGATAATTTATTGGTTATTTAACTGCCACCATCTGGAGAAAATCAGCAGCAACTCTCTCTAAATCCAGACACAAAAGAATATAGTGACCTGGTTTGGATGTTACATAAGTTCATGTTATTTAATACTAAATAAACCACAGACATTTGTTTAATTGCAGGAAGGGCTAAATCATGCAACATGTATGTTTATTCAGCAGTTCAGAATTTTGGTTGAATACTGTCTGAACCATTACACTGAGGCAGTCATTCTTGGGTTAGATTTGGATAGGGCTTGAATGCTGCCACAAAGAAGTGGGAAAAGGCCATAAAGATCTAATATTTAGAACTCAATATTGGTTCTGAAAATATATGAAGAAGCTAAAATCAGACCGTAGAGATGATTTTCCGGATATTTAGCTGTTTGCAGAGAAACACTGAAGTTCTATTCCTGTTCATCCTAACCTGAAAGGAACCCCACTGAATTCAATGGAGTTTACTTCTTAATAGTAGTAAATAGGATTATGTTTTTTAGCTATTGTCCTTACAGCAATGTGTTTGTTGGTATATGTGTAAGGGCTGCTTAAAATCATGCAACTCATAAAGCAATGCAGATATTTCAGTATCAGTGAGGTACAGTGCAATTCGCTATGGCATTCAAGTTAAAAACATTTTAATTTCAGCACGGAATCCCTTCTTTGCATCTATAATTTTATCCCTGGATTAACAATATAGACAAAGCCTGGTTACTAGTGAAATTAGATTTTCCATCTTTAACTGAAATTATTTAAAATATGAATACACTAATTATACGAATACACTAATTCATATAGACAGCCACTCCTCTATACATCAGAATCATGAAATAATCTTTTTTTATTCTCAGTAATTTGTTATGAAAATAGTAATATTTTTATTTGTAATGTGTTATATTATTTTGTTAGTTTGTAATGTGTAATATGTCTCTCAACAGTAAAAGATTAAAGAAGCCATGGACAACCAATATAATTCCATTAGCACCCCAATTTGCAATGGAATTTCAGCTCATGAGAAGAGAATCAGCTCTTTGGTGGCTGAAGATCATGGTCAGAGAATCTTAACCGTACTGCAAAGCTTCAGAGCTCAAAACATATTTTTTGACTTTAAAATACTTGTAAAAGATGAAGCAATCCCCTGCCATCGTTGTGTACTAGCAGCATGTAGTGACTTTTTCAGGTAAATCTATTTCTATTTCCAACTTGGCTCCTATGCACATGAATGTTTTTAAAATTTGCTAAAAACCACAGAATCAGCCCATGCAATTCAAAATGTAGAATTCTTTGACATTGACTTTTAAAAATTAAATGAAGTTGCATAATTATGTAGAAATCAAGAATTCAGTCAGTTAGCTGAAAAATGGCAGGCATTTTAAAATGATCTGTTCATTTTCTGCAATCTTATACCAGGCTATTTAGAAGCCCCATTGAATTCAAATGGACTTCCCGCATATGCCTGTGGAGGATTGTGCCTTCATTGTTAAGATAACATGGTGCTTATACTACATAAAATATCAGCAAGTATGTATACTGAGAATGGTACTGTTTATCTTATTTGAGTTCTGAGATATTTTTTCCTGATTGAAATTGTATGGATATTGGTGATGACAAAACATGTTAATCTTCTATATTTTAATTACAGAGCCATGTTTGAAGTTAACATGAAAGAAAGAGATGATGGGAGTGTTACGATAAGTAATTTAACACCCAAGGCAGTGAAAGCTTTTCTAGATTATGCTTATACTGGAAAAACTGAGATAACAAATGATAATGTGGAAATGTTCTTTCA